TGGTGTGGCTAGCACTTGGATGGTTACCAAAAATTTCTAAGCAGTCAGTCAGCAAACAAATTCTGATCATAAACAGCACTTGGCTTCGATTCGAGCAAAAGTTAAAATCTACAAAAATACAACTAAATGATTCAATGTAAGAATGAGAATCGGACTGCTTTCATCAGATTTGGGCGGGGAACAAAGTGAAGTTCAGCTGAGGATGATTACGGAGATGATGATGATGATTGGAGCGGGGGAGATGGCGCTGGGCTGGTGGTCTCAAGGAGCTAGCTTGCCGGCTACTTGCTCCTTCTGTCATTTGTGGCTGCTGGTCTGCTTCATTGGCTTTTGATTGTGTTTGGCTGCTTTATTTATTTATGGGCAATGAGCCCAAGCGCTCCCTCAGTGGGGCGGCTGGGCTGGGGCTGGGGCTGGGGCAGTGGTGGCTTTCATAAAATATTATATCTTGTTTTTATCCGCTGTGGTTCGACACACATACATACTTATAGACATAGATATATGTCTGTATGTATGTATGTATGTGAAAGCTGTGCCCAACTTATGGAGAGCCTTCGCTCACAGCAAAGTTAAATTGCAAACAACATGAAGGCGCAGGATGGGGAAGCCGCCACAGGAAGAAGGATGGAGAACTGGGAATAGGGAGCCAGCCCAGGGCCAGGCCCAGAAACAGGACCAGAAACAGGACCGGGATACAAACGGAGCGACTGGGGGGGCTGCTGGGGCAAGTCGTGTGGCGAAGTTCGCTGGCTTTTTGTATAACTTTTGATTAATAGAGCGACGACGAGGCTGTCAGGCAGCTGTCGTTGGCATAATTGCACCACACACACATTCCTTCCTCTGCTCTGCCTCTGCTCTGCTCTGCTCTGTTCAGCCCCCAGAAGCAGTTCCTGACAACAACTTGGGCTTGCAGCTGAAACTTCTTCCGCTAAATTGATTCCGTTGAAAACAAGTGCACGGACTACGAGTACGACAGGCAGACACGAAGGAGCCGGGGACTGGGGAGAGCAGTGTGAAACAAAAGCTCATCAGGATAACAGACAAATGCACTTATGCAACGCAGCCGAGGAAGACAGCTGAATACATCACATACATGCATATACTCGCACTTGTACATGCTGGAAAATAAACAACTTGGGCTCGATGGGCTCTATCCGATATCCATATGCCCTGCAAGACGGCTGCATCACCTCTCGCACTTCAACCTTCCCCAAGACGCCAACTACAAGCATATCGAATGGGCTGTAAGGTCTGGGGCATGGGTGCCCCATTAGGGCCATGCAGTTACACTGTGCAGCAGAACCTTGGGAATTTCAAAAGCAATCGGGTATATTTTTCCCGATAAGGAGATTAAAATGCCATAAACGTTGTCCGGCGAGGCGTCAACATTACGTATACGTCTAGAGCAACACTATAAAATTATGTTTTGCAGGTTCCTTTCACTAATAGGGACAACAGTGTGCCTCTCTCGCTCTCCGCATATACAACAAAGAGATTCTGTTTTCCCATTCTATGGATACATTTTCTGGTGCTCAACTCCAGATAGTTTTACTGGGACTATGGAGTTTTTATAACCGATTTATACATGTACATAAAGTATTTGTGATGTCCTATTACGATGGAAAATCTATACTATAAATTTGTAGAAAAAAATCTGTGTAAGTGGCTATCCGCAACGCGCCACAAATTGCGTGAAAAATAGCGCTGGGCAAAACAGCGGTCCCAGATGAAAATAACAAAAACAAAGTCCAAAAGTACGTTGACCCTATAAATCCCCCCATGCGCGGAAAAAAAGGGAGGTGGCGCCCGCTTGAGTTACCCTTTGAAAATGGAAAGCGTGGGGTGCCACCCCAAAACGCCCAAGGACAAAACTCTAAAGTTGGGGCAGAAATGGTTTGATGTATTTCTATGGCAGCTTTTTTTTGAATTTTGAAACTGGTATTATTAAGCTTCGGGCGTCCATCCTACTTACGTCTGGTTGTAAAGACTTGTATTTGAAAGGTAATTAAAACAGCTAGAGTTAGCCCAACTGTGTTCAGTACGTTGGAAATATAAAGCGTGAAGCAAACTGGTTTACGAAAGCTAACAACCAGGAAAGAAAAAACTGCCCAACTGCCAATTGGGAACAAGGACGCGATCGGTACCAAATGTACAACCCTTGTCGTTTGCTTGTTCCAATTGGCGGCACCTCCAAAAGGTATTGTCCCTTTAGGTTTGGTTAAGCCCTCCCCATAGTTTTAATGGCGTACCTAAACGCGCCAAATACCACCTATACACAAAAAAATAAAGACATATTGCTCAGTAATCGTAAAAAACCCTCTTTGCATTCAATTTATTTCCAGGGCGCGAATTAGTCTTTCAAATGCAATACACGGTACTGAAAAAAAAACCATTTCAAAATCCAACTGCTGAAAAAAACCAAATTCTTTAAAAAATTTTAAATCCCCTATCACAGAAAAAGTCGGTTTGGATCCTTGGGAAAAAAAGTTCATTGTCGAGTAGTGTAGCCATTTCGTTTTTTTAATCAGACTTCGACGAGTATTTTGGCATTTGAAATCCATTGCTGAATCTCTTAATACCTTCAACTGTATTAATCAACATTTTGTAACCGATACATAAGAGCTTTACTCGATTTATTTCATAATTAAACTCCGAAATACATGCATGTGTATGTGCATTGTACACACATTTTTCACTCCAAAAAAACAGTCCTCCTGATGTCATCTGTGGTAGCACAGTGCCCCCGACACTGACAAGACAGGCAAGGCAAGGCAGACAAGCAAGCCGAGTGAGGACAGACAAGCTGACATTCAGGCGGGTTGGTGGCGAGTGGAGCAAATGTGGCCAATAAAAGCTACAGAAACAGCCAGCAGCCAGCAGCCAGCAGCCTGCAGCGGTAGCGGGTGTGCGAGCATTGCCAAAGGAGGGAATGGCTTGGAATGGAATGGAGCATGTTACACTGAACATTTACATTTGAAAGTTTTGGATGAATAGTTTGGTTCAGATTTGCGCTTGATTTGTTTTGCGGCCAGGCCATTTAATTGCATTTGAGCTGCTGTCAGTTGGTCAACCCAGACCCAGACACAGTCAACGACATAGACATGGACATGGACATGGCCATGCACATGCACATGCACATATGTAGGCACAATGGACGAGTGGGAGTTGGAGCGGACTGGCCGTTGAAGTTAAGGCTTAAATCAAATTTAAAACTATTCTGTGTCCTGCCTGTCCTGATAAATTATCCATGCATGCATATTATATGTACATATGTATACATACACATATATGTACATATACATATTTACATGTAAAGTAAGAGGGGGACTTGCACATGGCGTACTCGTAATGCATGCACACTTAAAGCCTCAAGAGTGCCAGCCAAATGGCATGACAGAGATAGAGCCACCGGGCCAGAAGCTCCCTCCACTCATCTCATCTCATCTCATCTCATCTCCACTAGACTGCGGGATCGGGGCAGAGCAAAGCTTAGCAAAATACTTTCATAATAATCTTTATGGCACAACGAGAGGGGGAAAAAACAAGCCGGCTCGCACGAAAAATGGGCAAAACTGTTACCAAAAAAAAAAAACAACGAGGGAACACACAAAAACACACTGCTAAACGAGCTGGGGGCTGGTCGTACTAGGGCAAAGGCAAAGGGCAACCAAATGGAAATGGCCGAGTCTGGGGGCGGACGCTGTACGCTGTACGCTGTTATTTGGTTGCATGGTTTAGCCCTGCTCTGCGCACTCCATGCATTTGTTTTTTTATGAACTAAATGTGTGCTATCCTCTTGCCCCAGCCACACACCACACACCAACGCCCCCTCCCCACCATCCCGACAGAAGCTCCAGAATGGTAGCGAAAAAAGCTTTGGCATTTTCAGGTTGGACGTGCTTTGAGGGCTTAAGGAACGCTAACGAATCTAACGAGTCCGATGTGCCTTTGGTTCTGGCACACCACAACAGCTTACGATTTCCTTTCAACTTGCCCAAAATGCGAACTTTACATGCGAAGGTCCCAGCAATGATCACGCAATCGTCCTCAGCCTCCCCGAGCGATCCTTAGGAGATCGTGTGCCGCGAATGCCCGCTTTTGGGGTCAGTGTAGCTGGCGTGTGAACACTTCTGCCAGCTTGTTTGTTCTGTTCTGCCAAATGCTAAAAGCAAAGTTGGATTATATATGTACATACACACAAATATATATGTATGTATGGGAGGTATGGGAGCCCCTGCTGAGTGTGGGTCCGTGTCCGTGTCCGTGTGTGGCCCAAAAGTTGAATGTGCTCCGCCTCGACCCGAAAGTCGCCACCCCACCCGTGGCAAGGTGAGTTTTATATGCAATAATTTTTCTTTTTTTGCCCGCCTGTGGGGCGGGGAGGGGGCAAGCCAAGAATTGGCTGGGGTTTGGGTGCACGTGGACGTGGACCCTTGTGCGAGTGCAAGCATGAGCTTGAACTGGAGGTGGTGCTGGGCTGGTGCTGGATTTAATAAATTCTAATGTTTGCTTACCTTGCCCGAAAGGCTTTCAACCCCAAACCACACCCACACACATGTGGCGCAGAGAGTGGGGAACAATGTAAGAGCAGGTGGAGCCAGGTGTATCCAGGAGCTTCTCGGCGCCACAGCAGATTTACTTTTATTGCAAATTGCAATCCTGCACTCTCCTCTGGCCCCACCTCTGTCCCTCTGCAGCTCTTATGGCTGGCTCCACATCGTTCCGTCTGCATGATATAGACATTTGGATGAATGAGTAGACAGATACACAGAGCGACTGTGTGGGACAGCCCCCGCCCCCACTGACGGACAGCCCCATCTCTGGACCTGGATGCTAATATGCAACAGGATGCGGCATGTGCATCGCATCTGCATCTGCATATAATAGCCGCAGGTCCACATTGATGGACAGCTCCTACACATGTACTCGGCCAACGTGTGATCTGACAAGCGGAAAGAAAATTCTAAATAAATGCAATAACATAAATTGAGAATTAAACTGTATACAGGATACGTAAAGAATTTAATTTAAATACTTCTAATGTCAATGCAGACTTCTTCGAATAATTAACGAAACTTTTTTTGTTGTCGGTCTGAATGGGGGGGTGGGGTGGCGGCGAGCATGCAGTATAGAGTTTCGATTTGGTTTTAGTGTAGCAAACAATAGCCGCACTTAGCGGAACCAGTGCCAGAATTTCCACCATCTATTCGAGCGAGATGTGGAGCGGCTAGGAGGTGGCATGGGTTGCGGCGGCGTCATGGGCATCAGTGGCGGCCCCTCATCGGCCAGGTCGTCGACGCGGTCCTGTGTGGCAAGGATCACGCAGTTGCGGTACACCTCCATGGCACTGAAGCACCTGCATGCGTGCTGGCTGTTCTGGCGGAGGCAGCGTTTCATCTTGTTGGCGGCCTCTAGGCACGGTCTCTCCTCGACGTCCGTCAGATGGTCTTGCACCTGGACGAGCAGGCGATCGAACTCCTGGTGGATGGCCTCGGCTGGTCTGTAGCACGCGAATTTTTAAATTAAATGGCGTTGGGCGAGTGATTTCTCCGCTGGTACTCACAATCGTTGGTCAATGCTCATCATATTGCCCGACTTGGATTTGGTCCGCTTGCGACTGCTCGGCTTGGGCGAGAGCGACTTTGGCCTGGTCTCGGAAATCTCTCGTGGAGCCGTCTCTGACGCACCTCCTGACTGCGCTGTGGGCAGACTTGCCTGGGGACTGGGACTGCCCAGCACGGCACCCATTCTGTATGATCTACAGCGCAATTCGTTTGCTAACAAAATTGGGTTTAGTGTCTGTTTTGTCAGCGACGTGGAATAAGCATGACTGGAAATTTCTAAGTGCTAAATGAAAGTAAAATCAAACTAACTATGTCCAAAAAATATATAAATATTCAGACCCTTAGCAGTGGCATTATGTTCGACGTTGGTAAAGTCCCCATCGATATCTTTCAGTTGAAGAGATTTCTCTACCACCGAGATTGCTTCATGGAGTGCCGTTTCCGTGGATTTTCCCTTCCGATGGCTGTCCACAGTTGTAGTCTCGACTTGTCCCTCAAAGGCTTGGGGAAGAAATTACGATAGAAAGACTGATTGGTCGGTGGGGTGGGATGAGGTGGAGGCTTCCCCTGCTTTGGAAATGAAGATTTTTTTTGTCTCAAGCCAAGCGAGTCGAATTTGAGGATACATTGCAGACAGTTGATCTTGCAATGTCAGGATCTGTCGATTGGAACCGTTTGAAGCTGTTTACTGCCCAGCTAACGTTTCGTCTTGAATGAATGTGTCCCATCGTAGATACCGAGGCATCGAGTAAGATGTGCAGGGATTCCTCACTAGAGTTTGTCCACGTACCATTTCTTCGTTTGGTGGAGACTGATCTGCTTCAGCTCGTCGTCGGGTGCTTCGATCTTCGCAGACATTTACTTTTACGTTGCCCTGTAACTATCTTATATATTTGCAGGCTGGAGATGGTCCAGGGTCCTGTTCGAGCAGTTTGAAGCAGCGATCGCGAGTGACTCTTGACTCTTGGGTGCTCTAACCTCTGCGCGACCTTTGTCCAGGACACCTTTAGGTGTCCTTCCTTGGCAATATGCGAGAAGGATAGATTTATCTGGACTCTTGAGCGCTTTGCAGCTGTCCCTGGTGTCTCCTTTTGTGGCTTCATGCTGAGGTTTGGGAGCACCGCCCAGGCCTTCTTCAGCCAATCGGCTTGCGTACTCACGTTCTGCTGGCGGAGTACCGTCCTCTTTTCGGTGTAGCTGTGCCTTGAGACCAGGTCGATGGCAATTCGTCGCCCGCCGTTTCACCAGAGGGTCAGCCACTCCAAGATGGCGTGTGCTTTGCCCCCAAGGCGGCACAACAAGTGCATCGTGAGTGTTTCAGCTTCGCTAGCACCCGCTGGCTGTCTGGGACTGCCTATATTCGGTACTTTCCCGCAACATGCAACCCGTTCGATGGTCTTAGCTAGGCCCCCTCTGAGCCACCGCCCCAGCTCATTGAATCAGACAAAACTAGTTAGAAAATAGGAAAATGCTGGATCAAACCAAAAGAACGAAAACGAATTATAAGACAACTTCAAAATGCTTAATTAATCTAAAACAAATTCCGCCCTCATTAAGTAAATCAATCGTTACACTCAGATAATATGCTTAAAATAAAAAAATAAAAATAAAACGGGATGGAACGTGTGAGTCGCTTCTGTGGACGCGACTCTACTCTTATACCCGTACTCAGTCAGTATATAAATATGTGAGCTTGTGATTTATGTCGAATTTTTGCTACATCTGTCAACTATGTCTACAATGTAGATTAAACATCTAAAATGTAGATTCTTCCTATACCATTAAGTTTCTACATCTCCTCCGCTAGAGGGCGCTCGCGCACTGAACGAGGCAGAGAATGAATACTGTCACAGTGCTGGAGGAGGGAAGGGGAAGATAAAGATAAAAAGATAAATACATTTATTATTCTGACCTTTCTGAGTTTGAAAAATTAAAATATCGAGCCGCATAAGCCGCAACTAAAAAACTGACATTGTCTCAAACTTCCTCTAGTCAAAGCTCCGAGACTAACAGAATTATCTCTATCCCAAACTGCCAGCGAGCTTAAGGCCTCAGTAGCTACGTATAACCAAATTTTAGCATTAAATAATATAAATAAATAAATACTTAAAAAATACTCTTAAAAGTAATCTTGACCAAGCTACCTTTGATGAAAAATCTGCACAGCCGCTGATTCCAGAGAGTCATTCTTCAGCACAAATAGCTTAATAATACATAAAAACTTTTCAGCCATAGGCAAAAGAAAATAGCAAATATATGGAATCATTTCCATCTCCTGTCTCGATATGGTCTGGCTGAGATGCGCCTTGATTCGGGCAGGATCCATCCACCTGCAGTCCACTGTGTATTCCTTCTGGGTCCTGCTCTTCAGTGGCCAGGCTGTCAGATGCGGGGAGGAGTGGAAATTTTAGCTTAATTGCGCATTAGAGGGAAAAGTTTTCTTGTTTCCTGCAAATGGCCGCCACACAGCGCAACACATTGGAAAAGTTGAGCCGGGTCAGACAATTTGGCGATGAGCAACGTCCCTCAATTGCAGGTGGCTTTGGCTGCCCCCCCAAAACCCAACTCTGGCTGCATCAGTGGGTTCGTTCTGCTCATCTGCCCTCTACTTGGTCCAGCACTAATCAAGCAAAAGTGTCCTGCCTCACCGCACCGCACCGCACCGCACCCCACCGACCACCGACTCACCGAGAGGTTCGGACGCACACAAAGATTTCCTTTTCCCCTCGCCGCCTGGCGGGCATAAAAAAGTCAAGAAGTTTGCTGTTGGCCTCTCATCGGCGCTATTTGGCATTTCGCTATTGGAATTTTCATTGGCCACAAAAATACTTTTTCGATTAAACTTTAACGGCGCGTAAAATGCCGAGCGATGCCAAATAGCCGCAAAAATGCCGAGAGAGAGAGAGAGAGCGAGAGCGAGGCAAGGCCCCAAAAGCCCAAATGCCAAATCAGAAAATGATTAATTACAAAATGTTTTGGTGGATGCCGTTGCTTGTGCCGGTGCCAGTGCCGGTCGTAGGCCCAGGTCCTGCCTGTGTGCCTGGTGGCCTGCCAAATGCCAATTAGCGGAAATATTTCACGTAGCCCCCATCGCCGACGACTAATGGAAATAAATTAGTTTCGCCTTCACGGCGAGCCTCCGCATGATACCACGGCTGCCCACATCAAAAATGTTAAATACGAAGCACACTCACCCCAGCGCCAGCCCCAGCCCCACCTCCAGGCCCCAAGACTCGCCCAGCCAGTACCCGGGGTGGGGCTCATTGAAGCATCTCCCAGCCATGTCAGCACTTGGTCAGGCCATTGGGGAAATGGTCAACTGCCTAATGGAAATCAGCATCGCGGACAAAAACCGAGAGGAGGAGCACGGACATGAGCCAACCACTCGTTAACAGTTGCAAAATATTCACCCAGAAGGCAGAAAATGTCACATTCGTATTCACATTCGCATTCGCATCCACATTCGCATTGTTGCAGGGCCACACTCCATTCTCCATTCTGGATTCTGCATTCTATGCTGGGCAATGCAGCGATGCGGAAAGTTCATTGGATGCCATCGGCAACAATGACCACTGTGCCTTCTGTGGCACGGCACTCAATGCGCATGTTGGACCACAAGAGGAGCCAGCCGGAGGAGCCGTAGGCAGCATCCTCGAATCGAGCCAGTTTCCTCTCCGCTTCTGTAGTCAGGACGGGAATCAAGCGCTCGGCAAGTTTTTTTTTGTTTCCGGGAAGCAAAGTTTGATCCATTGCCACGCCCTTGCCAGGGCTCCTCCTCTGAATGGTTCTGGCTCTGGCTCTGGCTCTCATGATCATGCTGAAATATAAGGATTACAATCAACATGAAAATCAAGCGTCAAAAAGTTTTTACCACCACCACGTAATCCGCAGCAGTTTTTCATCTTCAGCGACGGCATCAGCACCGCCCGCTGGAGCCTTTCTGGACGGAGCTTGGCTATGCCAGATGTGCGATGTGGCGGCATCGCGGTTTCAGCATCAGCAGCAGCATCAGCAGCATCAGCTTCAGCTACAGCATTAGCCGAGCACGTTCAACTTTCCAGTGGCACGCGAAACCGCAGAAAATGTCGCTGCCCCACCACTTCCAAACCTCGTACTTTATCACTCCCTCACGCGCTGCCCCCTGTCCCTGCCCCTGCTCCACCCTCTTCCTCTACCAGCTTTCTGCGAATTTTTCGCACATTTTTCGCCTCTTCTCATAGAGCACAAGGAGTATATCCCATTCATGTAGTTGTATGTTACTTTTAAAGGTACACAGAAGCCAAATATGCCCAGAAGGATCCGTTCGGTCACCTGGATCTCGCGGGCTGTGATAGCTCCAGGAGCCGAGTGTGGTTTTTGCCAGTAATGGAAACTAATTTCGTACCCTACTCAAATCATATTTCCACACGAGCTGAGGGTATCTACTTGAGGGTATTCCAGTGCCGAAATAGTCTCCTTTCGCATTTTTACTTTCTTCCGTTGCTGTGGCTGTTGCTGCCGCTGTTGGCTGTTGGCTGTTGGCTGGCGGTAGTGGCAGTGGCAGGGCTGCTGGTGGTCGGCACTGGCTTCGCTCTCTGTATTTTTCAGCATATAAATTTTCGTTCAAGTTGAAAAGTTTCACATACTCCTATCACGTAACACGCAGAGGGGTCCAGTGGATGTAGTTGCCGCTGTGGCGTGGCTGTGGCGTGGCGTAGAGTCTACGGTCGCGTGCTGAGCTGAGGTCATGCCATGGCTGCGGGGCTGGTCGGACGCCTTCGTCCGCGTCGCTAATTTATGGCCTGACATTAGAATGCAATCATATTCACTTAAAAAAGTGCATAACTTTTGGCTTCTTTATTTAAAAGCGTTTGTCATCGTCGTTCTACCCGCTGTTGTTGCACAAATAACTTTTATGGCACTCAAGTTTAATTGCTGAACAGATTGTTGCTAATCGCGCGTGTGCTGCGTGTGCTGCGTGGGCTGCGTGGGCGGGTAGGTTGAGTTTTCTGGCTCTGCCCACTGGATGTATAGTATTATCTAGAATATTTTAGTCCCCTATTATTGATCACTGAAATGTCAAGCAGGATCAGCTGGGTGCCATCATTTAAGTTTAATTTATTATTATTCGAATTTTCTTTCATTTCATGGTAAATATTTGCACTTTTCTGCCTATCAGTGCAATTATCACCACTAATGACAACCAAATTCGGGGCACACGGTACACATATTCATATAATCCTTAAAACAAATAATTTTAATCATTCGTATAATTAGAAAAGAGACTTTTGTAGACCCCTTTAGACCCCCTT